TAAAAAGAAAAGCTTGACTTTTCTTTAGGCACTGGATTAAACATTGTTAAAAAGAAAAGCTTGACTTTTCTTTAGGCACTGGATTAAACATTGTTTTTAATGTAACATTGAAATTACTCAGGGGTCCGAGACAGTGAAAAGCTAGAAACCAAGTTACACAAGAAAGAACGGAAGAAAGTGATGTTTTGTTCAAAGAAAAGAACTGATGGCAGGGTGTGGTGGCTCATGCCTGTAATCCCAGCACTTTGGGAGGCCAAGGCAGGAGGATGACCTGAGGTCAGGAGTTCGAGACCAGCCTGGCCAACACGGTGAAACCCTGTCTCTACTAAAAACACAAAAATTAGCCACGTGTGGTGGTACATGCCCATAATCCAGCTACTCAGGAGGCTGAGACAGGAAAATTGCTTGAATCCGCAAGGCAGAGGTTGCAGTGAGCTGAGATCATACCATTGCACTCTAGCCTGGGCAACAAGAGCAAAACTCTGTCTCAAAAACAAAAAAAAGAAGAAGAAGAAAGAAAAGAGTGAAGAGAATACAGAAACTCCTTTCAAATGTCCAAAGGTCTGTCCTGGGGAAAAAGGATCCACCGTAGGTGAGTTTTTTTGTTTTGTTTTGTTTCAGAGACAGGGTCTCGCTCTGTCACCCAGGCTAGAGTGCAGTCGTGCAGTCATGGCTCACTGTAGCCTCGACCTCCTGGGCACAAGTGATCCTCCCACTTCAGTGTCCTGAGTAGCTGGGACTACAGATGCATGCCACCACATCTGGCTAATTAAAAAAAATTTTTTTTAATTATTTATTTATTTTTTAGAGATGGGGTCTTGCTATCTTGCCCAGGTTTGTCTGGAACTTCTGGGCTCAAGCAATCCTCCCACCTTGGCCTCCCAAAGTGCTGAGATTACAGGCATGAGCCACTGTACCCAGCTCCCTAGTCAAGTTCTTTATTAGTCATATTCTGTGTTGTTTCTAATGGCAAAACCGGCATCCGGTTCAGAGAGCTGCCTAGAGTATAACAAGCCACTCACAAAACAATGAGCTCCCGGAGCCTGAAAACACAGGGGCAGTGGATGCCCAAGACAGGATTCCGGAATTCCTTGGGAAGGTGAGACCAGGTGTCCCGTAGGCTCCTTACCGGCTCTGTGAACTCTCTGACCCCTTTCCTAAATGACTAAACTTACTAGCAGCCTTGCTTGGTCAGGCTAGGACGACCACAGGCCTTCACGTAACGACATGGAGTGCTGGTTTCGTCAGCCCAAGCCCAGGGCAGGACCCTGAGACAGGTGGAAAGTCAAGCTGCTCTGCTCTGATAAGGCTGTTCCGTTCTTAAGAAACCCAGAGTCATCAAAAATGAATATAAAAACTATGGTTTCAAGGGGTAAGGGAGTGGGGGATAAAGCACTGGGGCTTCACACTTTCAATAAGAAAGCTGTTTTCCCAGTAGGAATTTCAGAAACAACAAGGCTTTTTAACAGCTGAAACGATAGCTATAATACCTAATATTACCGAACACATCTAGCATTTGATTACATATAGATTTTGCTATTTACTCTATTTTTCTATCATGAACAGCTGAGTGCTTTCTGTTTAAATTTTTTGTGTATTTTTTGTAGAGACGGACTCTCACTATGTTGCCCAGGCTGGTCTTGATCTCCTGCCTCAGTCTCCCAAAGCTCTGGGATTACAGGCATGAGCTACCATGCCCAACAGGTTGGTGTTTTCTAATTCACTGATCTTCATTACCCACTTGATCAGCAAAGTAAGAAACCATTCAGCAACTGTGAGCTCACAGCTTCGCTAGTTTCCAATCATGATCACGTAACGCCCATCACTGGTGCACACTCCCCCATTAACTGACTATATTGTGGCTGATACGAGCGATGACAATTTAACAGTTGGGAATGCCTGTTCTCTGACTCCTAATCAGTGCTTCCCAGACTTAACACCTAAACACCCCTGTTGACAGAATAGACATATCCATGAGGGGTTAGGGACAAGGCCAAAGTCACCCACAACAAGTAATTTTCTTGAAGCCACATGGTTTTTGTTTGTTTGTTTGTTTGTCTTGCTCTGTTGCCCAGGCTACAGTGCATTGGTGTGATCTCGGCTCACTGCAAGCTCCGTCTCCCAGGTTCAAGCGATTCTCCTGCCTCAGCCTACCGAGTAGCTGGGACTACAAGCATGCGCCACCACGCCTGGCTAATTTTTGTATTTTTAGTAGAGACGGGGTTTCACTATGTTGGACAGGATGGTCTCGAACTCCTGACCTCATGATCTGCCCACCTTGGCCTCCCA